GGCACAGCAGACAATAAATAACCGGGTAGGGAGCTGTACCGGGCCGGGTAAGCCATACAGGCAGCCAGGAGCCTCCGCCTGCTGGCGGTCGGGTGCATTCCCGCGTGCTTCGCTTAGGCCGCCTGGAGGAGGGCACTGAGGGCTGGGCCGGTTGGAGTCTGGGTCTTTCGTTTGTCTCGGTTGGAATCTGCTTTGCGGACTGTCCAGTGGAGGGCTAAGTGGTCGTGAGTCCCCTGGGGGCGGGCGACAACGGCTGGGGGTGGGTTTGGAGGGAAAGGGCCCGCACGTGCTACTGTGCGGTCCCGGGAGGGGCCCCGCCAAGCAGCACCCCAAGCAGTAGATTTGTAGGCCTGGAGCGCTGAAGCTTTGTTGTAGCACTTTTGCTGAACAGCTGTGTTTTGCTCCTACTACTCACCCCCACGGCCTTGCTTCAGCCCCTCCCTCATCTCTCTCTGCCTTGCCTCTCCTGCCTCTCTCTGCAAATGAGGCCTGGGAGCTAGTTTGGGCAGGATGGCGACTGGTTTAGGCATAGATTAGAATATCTACACTGTCTACTTCCCAGTGGACCTCAGTTGGCCTGTGGGCCGCCCGCCCCCCTTTGGAACCATGGCCTTGTGGTCCCAAGTCTCATGCTCTCCTCCTGGGCCTCCAAAGCACATCTGGCTCCTGCTCTGGGTGGCAGGCAGGCCTGTAACAGGGTTCTTGCTGATCCTTGGGTTAGAGCTGCAGGATAGCTTTGTCTCCCCGCTCTCCTTGCCTCTTTTCCCCTTGGTTCATTGACCGAATTTTTTCTCTCCAGCCTCCTGTTTAAAAATAGCTATAGGTACGATGTTGGGGGGTGAGGGGGTCCACGCCAGAGACAGAGGAGGTAGTCATTGTAGTAAGGAACTCGCTGTGTATTAGTGATAGAGCTAGCAAAGCAGTCAAACTCAATAACTTCTCAGTTACTTAAAAATCCCCAGCCCGTCGGGCTGCTGTCATTGTTTGCTGCAGACACCTCTGACACTGGTGCCTGCCAAACCCTGTACTTTGCTTGGTCTTCCCAGTAGCAAGGAGCTAAACCTGCCAGATGTGGCACACCCAGGATTACCCCAATCCTGGCAGCAGCTGAATTACCCCTGTAGAGCTGTCCTCCATCTGGCCAGGTTCGCCTTGGCATGGACTGCTGCTTAAGGCAAGCCTTGTCTTGCATACAAACACCTCCCTCTGCAGCTCTGCTCCCTGCAGCAGGGGCACGGGCAGAGCAGAGGGCACTGTGCTGTTGTTGCATTCTCCGCCCACCTCTGAAAATTCCTGCAGAGCCACCTCCCTTAGTGCAGCTCCCCTAATTGGACCCTACCCATTGCACCACATAGCACCTCAGGCAATTGGCTGTAACCGTGACAGTTTTGCAAGCTGTTCACAGACCACTGATAAACCTTTAAGAGTAGAGAGCCTGGTGAGCTGCAGGGCTCAGCAAAGCCTGGATACCTCTGAGGTGAGGTAATGAGACACAGTAAATCTCTTACTTGGGAAAGACTGACTTGTGACTGTTTTTGACATCATCCAAGACAGTAGATACCACACTATATACATACAGTCACTTCCTCCTACATCTATCAGGCCCCAGCAAGAGCCTCTACTTGCAACTGTGCATTTCCAGCTCAAGGCTGGACCTGTCCTTTGATTTTGCCCCAGTCCAATACCCACATACTGTGTATATTTTGTAGAACTCCCTTCCCCACACTCAAACTGACTCATTCTACCCCTCTTCCCTCTCAGGCCTCAGTTCTCCCTGTACATTTTCCTTGGTCCCTTTCCTGCCTTCCTCTTGCTACCCATGACTTCTCCAATGCTGCCTATGGCTCCTGGCCCTTTTCATGCTTAGGTTATAGGAGACAAACTATAAGGAAATTTCCCTGCCTCTGCTTTGTCTCCCTGATATTGTCAATGGCTGGGGGTCTTAAGAACCCCTTAGTAGAGTAAACTAAACCTGGACCTCAATCAAAATCCTCTCAAAGCCTAGTAGTACAGAGTAATTAATGAATACTCTGGAAGTGCTTAATGTCTTTACATAACTTTCAAGACCTTCACCTTTCCTGCTTTTGCTTGTCCTGATACATATGGAAGATACTCAAGGCTCAAATATTTAGAGTATGTCTAATGATGATGAAAGGGGGTGGGTTTCAACTGTTTAAAAAAATAGTCATGATATATATATATATATATATATCCTCTCAACAGCAATCTTAGGGTTGTGGCCGCTCAGATCCCAGACTTGATATACCTTTGGTTGATTGATGAGCCTAGAGGCAAACTGCCATGGAGAGAAATGAGAGATCTGTATATGCTGGCCGAATCATCTTGGGAAGCTGCCAGAAATAAGAGGGGTTTAGTAGACAAAGTATCAGCAAAATTAGGAATGGGAGGTAGTGGCTGGCAGCCAAGGTGAGTGAGGTTATTGGGTATCTCCTAGTTGAGATGATACAGCTTAGAGGTAGAGAAGACGTTGGGCCCCAGTGGTGAGAATTCCTAAACAAAAGAGGCTGGAATGGAAATCTAATCTTTCTGGGGGAAAGTACATTAAAGAATAGAGAACTAGGGAATTTTTTTGAGCATAAATGTGCCATGATAAAAACGAAGTTTTTCAAAAAGTTTCAGAATGGGGTCTTAGAAAGTTACTGAAAACATGCTGCAAGTCAGGTAGATAAGAGGCCATCTGAAGATTTGGAAATAGACCTAGGGGCAGGCTATCTCCAGAGAGAAGTTTCACAATTCATCCTCTCTTTTGGCCTTGTGAGGGCAAAGGAGGGAGGACCTGGAGCCTAAATGCCCATGTGATGGGGGTTGACAAGTGTCCTCCAGGCCTCTGCTGAATCCCTTCCACTCAGCTAGACAGGCTTTTGGGGAGCACCAGTTCAGACCACTGTGTTTACCAATGGGAATTCTGAGCCCTGGAAGGAAACAGAGGCTTGCTTAAGGTCCTAAAACTATTAGGTAGAGATTACTATCTCCAGTATAGTGGTCACTACCTCCTGTGTAGTGGCTCTTTATATGGTGTTTCACTGTTTCTAGTAGCCTTCACCCAATATAGATTTCAATACCAATCTCCCTCCTCTTGTTTCCCCCATCCCGTAATGAGTGAAGGCAAGTTGGGGGTTGCATCTGAGGATCCCCTCATCCCTTTTGTATCTTCTTTTAACACTTGCTCTTAGTCTGCAGCCTATTGGGGCTGAGAGTTTCAGGAAGGAGTATAGTTGCAAGAAGTTAGCAGTCTAATGATTCCCTCCTAGTATACTAGAGGTGTTAAGAATTCCTCAAAAACTTAACATTTTCACTCTTAGAATGTGTGTATGGCAAGAATGGCTCTGCTTCATTTGTCTAGGGAAATAAGGGAATGAGAGAAATAGCAAGCCTGGCAGGTCACATGCTTGCTTATAGAACTGAAAAGAAAGGGTTCCGGCTTCCCTACCTCACAGATAGCCTACTGAAGCTGGGCGGGGGTGTCTAATGTTATTACATAAATTTCCCTGCCTCCAAATTCCAAATAATAAAGAATGGACAGAGTGGGACAAGGAGATAAATCTCTTACAATAAGATAGTGGTCCAAGGGAAAAAGTAGGAAGAATGAAGAGGAGAGGAAGGGCAAATAAGTAGCATAAAGATATGCCATGTATAGGAAACTAATAACTTCAATTAGTATGATATTTTATGCCATAACATGAGCTAAGATCAATATCAGCAAGAATGAAAAATGGGATGGGGGAATTAGAGGGGGGAGGGGAGGAAAGGGGATTTAAAAACTGAAAAGAAACAAAATGTGGTATGTACATGTAACCACGCCCCAAGATAATTGTAAACTGCATGAACTGCAAACATGTACTAATAAAATAAAAAAATTAAAATTAAAACCTACCTCCAAACCTGTTTAAGCAGATAAACTAGATGATAAAAGCTAAGACCCCAGAGGAAGTATTTCACATCCTTCCTTTATCAGTCATTCCTGGGTCCCACATGTCACTGCCGGGAAGTTGTTCCTCAGAGCTAATCTGAGCCTCTCATGCTATCATGCTACAGCTAAACTGTGTGTGTGTGTGTGTGTGTGTGTGTGTGTGTGTGTGTGTGTGTGTGTGTTATGAGGGAGTGGAGTTGAGAACAGCTGGCTACCAGTGCTCTTTTTTTTCTCATTGAGTTTATTGGTACATTTTAGGTATACAGTACAGTTACATTCATCATTGGGATCATGTTCCTTTAAATGACAGGTCTTGGTTCTCATTTTTTTTCCCCATACCCCTTCCTTCCCTTCACCCCCTCCTCCCTTCCCTATTTACAAAAACTTTGTTTCTGTTTTTCATTTTCTCATATTTTTTCTTTTCCCTTATTTCCTTCTGTTTAACAATTTATTGGAGATTTCACAGGCATTGAATCTAAACTCTACCCACCAACTTCTGTTGTTTGAATTAAATAATCACACAGTCTTTTATCGCCTCTACTTGGTCTTATTTTTCAAACCTGTGCATGTGTAAGTACCAGGCAGACAGGGAAACCAGAACCACTGCCAGGTCCAGGTGCCAACTAAATGAGAGTGCATTACTCCCTCAGGTCCTCTTTGAGATTAATGGAAAATATGGAGAATAGAGAAAATAGCTTAAGGGAGCTTGGTGGGCTCAGAAGCAGACATATGGGTGGTATGGGGATCTTTTCAGGCCTTTAATCTGCATTTCTTGTCAGAGCCTTCATTGCTTTCATCTCCTACAGACCCCCTCCCCCATTGGGCTTTCAAGCAGATACTAACCCTTCTTCCCTAGCCAGCACTCCTTAGCCTTCCCTTCCTGTGTGTTCAGCCATCCCCGATGGGATTGCAGCTCTTTTCAGGAAACAGAGCTAGGCTAGGCAAGTTCTAGGCCTCCTTCTCTCTAGATGTATTGGAAATACTTATAAGTGAGGCCTAATACATTTGTAAAATGTTGGAGCTAGTGTTATTAGTGCACTTCTGTCTTAAAAGTGATGAACTGAGCCCAGCTGACTAGGTATCCAAGCCTAGCAAGGCCTAAGACCCCCAAAGTTA